TCTAGAAGCAGACTGTTGTTTCTTGCAGCTGTTGGCCTCCCCTGACTCCTCCAGGCTGCGTCAACAAATTTAGGATCAGCACTATCCCCCTCTTTGGGAGGGGGGCGGGGGGAAGAGGAGAAGTGGAACTAACTGCTGGAGCGGAGCAACGGAAGTAAGCAGGAAAGGGAAGAGATGGGAAATGTGAAGCAGATACGCTGAGTTTTTACATTTTGAAATCAAGGAAGTCTTCTTTGTTCTTTAAAGAAGTGTGAGAAATGAGGGGTCTCCCCAGTTCCACTCAGCAAGAAAGTTGAAACAAGACGGCCCTTTTCAGCACTTGGGACTGCAAGTCCTAACAGAAGGCCCCAGGTGTTTGGTCACCTTACTTATAACAGGCTGTTTTTGCCATTTCCTGTAAATACTTGGTTAGTATTGTGCAATGACTTATTCCCAAGGCATCACAATGCAAACTGTTGGCCAACATTGTATGCAAGGCCCTGTGTCAATTGCATTGTGTGTGGAGTGTGAAATTTTACATAAAGCTGTTTAATTGTAAAAAAGATTCTCTTTTTTTTCCCCCCCTCCTGATGTTACTTCCGACTTACAAATTGTATTGAATAAAATAGGTTGCACAGCACACTGGTGCTTGACAAAATACAAGTGTTGGAAGCAAACTGTACAGTAGTTCAAATTTCCTTTATTTTGAGAATTGGTCCTTAGTTCTACTTTCCCAGCCAGGTGCTGAAGTTTCCATATTTGTGTATTAAGTGACTAAAAAAGAGGCATGTCACTGGTTGGTACTGTTCATAAAGGGAATCTCTCTGCTGCCTACCCTGCTCTGGGGGGGCGGGGGGGCAGCTTTGCAACACCACTTAAATTTTTCAATGTTGTGAAGCTAACATACCTTCTATGTTCTCTAACCGTTCAGTTGTAGCTCAAATGAAATGTCTCTTACTTTAAGGTATTATTGTATTATATAGTAAGTGTGTTTTGTACTCCCAAGTATCTAGATCAGGGGTGGGCAATTATTTTGGGCAGAGGGCCGCTTACCGAGTTTCAGAAAGCCATCGAGGGCTGCATGACAGGCAGTTTAGGGCAGATTAATATTAATTTTTCTACACTTTTTAGGGGCCCCACAGGCCAGATAGAATGGCCTGGAGGGCCGCATCTGGCCCCCGGGTCACATTTTGCCCACCTCTGATCTAGATGGCTTCACTCTTCTCCACAAATCTGGATGTAGGCAGTTCTCGTGCTCCTAAAAGAAGTGAAATTTGGCAGCAGCTTAAAATGATGGAGTGTATTTAAACAAAAAACTCCAGTTGTTTTTAAGGTTTGTAGAGAGCACTTGAGGGTTTGCCCTCTAAGTTGATGCTTCAAGAAAATTGGTTCTAAGTAATGCTTTCCCCTCAGTATATATGTATTTAATATATTCCTTGTTTTCACAGGAATAACAAAGTATGCAACCTAAAGATTGACCTGACAGATCAATTATGGGAGGTGGAGGGACCTGGGAGGTGGGCAGGGGAAGTCCCAGAGATGAGGGAGAGAGCGAGCCATAACTACCCCAAATTCTTTCCTCCTGTGTACCTGTTTGTGGGGAGCTGCCCCTCCTGGAGGTACACCAGCCCTTCTCCCTGCTTCCCCGTGTAGATCTGGATTGAAGGATGGCCATGAAAGCATAGCATATGGAATCTTGCATTTCCTGGTTTCAGAAATTTAAAGGTTTAAAGTATGTTCCTCTCCTGCCTGGAGGAAACATGAACAAGTGATGATGCGTTGGAAAGGGCTGGACTGTGTGCGTCACACCCAAGGATTTGTCTGGGGAAACAGGTGGGAGGGTCAGGCACAATGTACAGTTTGACAACCAAGCACCTGTTAGACGCTAGTGAGGCAGAGGACCTGAGAGAAACATTTAAATCCAGGATGTCAAAGGTGGAGTTTATGGGCCGGATCTAGCATACGGAACTGTCTCATCTGGGCCCTGGGGCTCTCTGCGGGGTCAGAAATGTGGTGGTGGGAGGAGCAGCGTTTAACACTGCTGCTACCGCGTTTCTGACCCCATACGGCAGATGTTACAGCTCTTCACTCCAGATCTGGCCTGCAGAACAGCCCCACTCAACTCATCCAGCCTGTGGGGCCGAATACCTTTGACACCCCAGTTTAACGGCTAGGAAGGGAGTGTTGAACCAGGAATACTGGCACAGGAGACTAAGAGTATAAGGAATGGGGGAGGAGGGAGTTAGCAGTCTGCTTCGCGACCCTCACACATAGCCAACACTAGTAAGTGCTGAGATTTTGGGACATAAGATTTATTTGTTTCCCTCACTAAAAATACAAAGTTAGATGGAAACCTGTGGGTGAGAGGGAAAAGAGTATAAAATTTGGTGCGAGTGGGGTTATTTCTGGGGACAAAGCTGTTTGCACCAAGCTGTTTTGAACAAGCTGTTTGAACAGCTTACCTAAACGTGTTTAGTCCTGGTGAAGATGTCTTGCACTATACTGCCATGATGCATCCTCCTGTCTGTGTAGTATATGCTGTCTGCAAAAGCATTGCGTTTGAGCAGGGTAAGACTGCTCAGGAGTGCACTGTTGAGTGTACTTTAAACTGCCTATGGCTTCCAGACATTCAAGTGTCATTATCCTTCAACAGCATCAAGTTCATGAGAAACCAGAGTGCAATTAATTCTGCATAAATGAAAATTGTTGATGTGTGAAACGGCTTAGGGCAAGCAAGAAGCAAGTGATTATAGCTAAAGAAGTATTTACTTTACAAATACTAACTAACAAACAGAACGGACACAGCAGATGGTTTAGGCTGTAGCCCCTTCTCTAACTGCTGGCTTCATGGCCCAAGTGAAATGCATTTTTGTAGTCTCAGGGCACAGATGGAGGAGCACACCATCCCAGTGTAACCTACATCAGTTTTGTATACCAGTGTAAATCACCCAGGGATCAGGATCATGCAGCTCTCCTGGGGTACCACACAGTCAATAGTCTACCTGCACCTTGCTGGTTGCTGGTGGGAGAGCAGGTTTGCTCGCTTCCTTTTAGCAAACTTATCCAAATGCTAGAAGTGTGTCAGGGCAGTGCTACACCTGGGGCAGCTGTGATTCGCAGGGTAGTGCTGGTCTAGTATTACCCCTCTACCTGCAAAGTGGGTAACTGGGGCTGCTGCCCTGGTTTCCACCCCTGCAGTTATGCTATCCCCTAGCCAGTACAGACCAGATCAATTGGAGCGCAACTAAAGCATTACAGAGAGACATCAAATGGTGTCATTCACACTTCCTCGGAGGCAAGGACTTTTTTGGTTCTTATTGGTCTGTGTAGATGGGAGACAGGTCAGACAAGCTTTTGGGCACAGGCTGCCTACCCTTGGAAGGACTACCTGTGTCTAGAAATGTCTCTGATCTCTTCCATCTGTCTAGTTGGCCTAACTAGGGTCGCCAACTCTGTTTGAATCTATGCCAGGAGGTTTCATCACGATGTGATACTTTACCTCAAGAAGACAAATGCACATGACTATTACATTTTTAAAAAACCCTACTGGACTACTATATAAATGGGATTCAACATTTCATAATTAAATGATAGGGCATTTATTAAATTATCTCCGAGGTCACTCGGCAGTCTACTGGAGATTTATATTTAACTAGCCAATTGCCCGTCAAGAAAGATGGAGGGGAGTGAGCAGGGATGGAGCCCCATGTCCCCCACCCCGTCCAGGTCCACTTCCCCCTTCCCTCCTGCTGCTTGGGGTCCAGGCCCCCTCCCTGCTGCAGTGGGGGAGGGGAGGAGCGGGCCCAGACCCGATGAGAAGGAGGACTGGGCCTGAGGATGGGGAGAAGCAGGGCCCGCGCAGGGTGGCGGGGGGGGGGAAGCACTGGGCCCAGGCCGACCTGGTGGCTGCCGGGGGATGGGAGTAGCGGGCTGGGGGCGGACAAAGGGGAGGGGGAGGAGTAGGTTTCGACCACAGACCTTGCTTCCCCCCTCCGCGTGGCTGCCATCATCACCAAGGAGCAAGGGTGGGGGGAGGGGAAGGCTACCCGCGTCCCCGTCATCACGGCAGCACGCTGCCACTTGTCCGAATGCTTCTTCGTACGCTGATTGGCTGTTTGTCAGCCAACTGGAGTGCAACTAAAGCATTACGGACAGACAGACAGACAAAGGCTGGTCCAATATTCGAATTGCTGGAGCATTGGCAACCCCAGGCCTAACCGAAGGTCTTGCCAAGCCCTCCTCGCTTCTCCGTTCTTGCACCGCATCCCCGCGGCGACTGGGCACCGTCCGCTGGGCTGAGGGTCGTGCCAGCGCCACCTCCTTGCCCGCGCCGGAGGGAACGTCTCCCGAACCGCTACCGCACGCATTCCCCTCCCGTTGGCCCGTGGGCAGGCGCGTAACTATGGGGCCAGCTGGCACCGTGAGGGGGAAGGAAGAGCGGCGGGGGAGTGTGCTTGGTGTGCACACCGAGGGTTTGCGACTAGAGACGAGGCTCGTGTCGCGGGCGGTTGGTTGACTCTAGAGGCGAACCTGCTCCTCCCCCCGTCCCGGCCGTTAACTGCCGTTGGGGGCCGCCCCCACGCCTGCGCGTCGGGCTCAGTGACTCACCTCCCCGGGGAAGGAGGTGGGGGGTGGAATTGAGGCCCATCCATGGCTCCGGTCTCACCCCTGCGGCCTGCTGACGTCACGCGCTGCCGGAAGTGGCCCGGGGGCGCCTGCGCAGTGGGCGCGTTGCGCCGGGGCCGCGGGCAGGAGGGAGGCGCAGTGCTGGGGCCCGCCATGGTTCGCTTCCTGCACGTCCAGAGCCGGCAGCGCGCGCCGCCGCCCATCTGCAGCGACTGCCCCGCCGTCCAGGTGTGCGGGGCGCGGGCCGGGTAGCTGCCGCCTACCGTAATATTTGTCATAGACGCGCATCCCGCCCGGAGGGATCCTCCCTCCTTTTGGAGGCTCTTGATGTTCTTCCCAGCGCTCCTTAGAGTCATTTGGCTGCCTGCCAGCTGTTCCTGGCCTCTGCCCCCCAATTTCACAGGGGTTTTTAATGATTTTTTTAAATCCTAGCTCTGCCCATGGAGACCCGTTGCCAGCAGCATTTAGGGTTTCAGCTTTCCTTAAGCAGGAAGGGGCGGCGGGTGTGCCGGCTGAGGGTCTGGTTCGCTCCGTGCTGTACGCAGGCATAGCTGGAAGAGAGAGATTTCTCCATGTCTGCCTTCCCCAAACAAGGCACGTGGTATATTTGGGGATGTACAGGAGAAAATGTGGTGACGTCTGCTTTTCTTTGGGCACCCTGATATTTTTCTCTTAAAATGTTGGGCAAGTTTGTTGGGAATGTGGCTACCTTCAGTCGGCCTCTTTCCTTCGCCTTTCTCTTTCTTGTGCGATTTCACATGCTGATGTTAAACTGAGCTAACTAACTTTGACTGTGGTGTTTAGAGCTGGAGCTCGGTGCTGTACACCTGAGATTTAACATGGGCACAGCGAGGAGAACCATTGACCTGTATTAATACAAATGGGCACCTCCATAATCACAAGCTGCCTTCGGAAGAGGCTTTTGGCCGTGCAGCAAAAGAATTTTCAATCTGTTTCTTAAAATAGTTGTTGATTTTACTCGCCATGAACATCTTGCAGGTTTGGTTGCCTGTAACCGGAGGCCTGCCTGGGTAGGGGCCTGTCTCAAAAACATCTATATTGCTGTCTGGTGGCTGTTTTCCCCCCTATGTTAAGGTATTGGTGAAGCTGGGATGAATTGTTTTAATCTCATTGAATTATCCTGCGTTCTGGTTCACTGTAGTTCTCTGATATCTTGCTAATGCATGAATGTTTTATTTCCTAATAACAGGCTGAAGCATCTCCATACTCTTTACTTGACATCTGTCTGAGTGCTCTGACCGCCGACTTGGAGAAGTTTTGTACAGAACGACGAGATGGGACGCTGTGCTTGAAAGAGTCTGAAAGGCTCCCTCAAGAAGTAGCTGATCGATTATTGCAGACCATGGCATTTCATGGTAAGATGGTTGTTTAGGCCCAGCAGTTGTAGATCTGGTGGCAAATCTGACTTTGGTATTTAAGTTGTTGCACTGTGACAACCAAGACTCCCTGGTATTAATTTAGAGGTGCACTGATATGTCGGTCCTATTTTGGATCGGCACCAATATAAGAAATTGGCAGTTGGCTTTTTTTGGTTGATGTGGCTGATAATGCCACCGATAAATGCTGCATGTATGAGTGCAGCCGCAGCGCAGCACACAGGTGGCCAGGAGTGCAGCCTGGCATTGTGGACAGCAGCCAGGTCCAGCTGGTAAGTCTGTTGTTGGGGGGCAGACTGAGGTCCCTGTGTTGAGTGGGATGGGGCAGAGGCAAGGGCAGGCACTGCCCAGTGCGGGCTGGGGACAAGGCAGCGCCTGGCTCTTTCCCCTGGGGGTGTTGGGCCAGGCTGTGCACGGGGTGGGTGGCAGCAGTGCTGAGAGGGGATTTGGTGGGTTACAGTGAATTTTGGAATGGCTGCAGCCTCTTCCGTAGTCCCCCTCCCAGTGCTGCCACTGCCCGCCCAGAGTGCAGCCCGGCCCCTGCCCCACCGGGAAGAGTCCAGTCTGCCCCCCATGCCACTCCCCCCGATTTACCAGCTGGATGCTGCTCTCCAAGCTGCTCGGCTGCATACTGGCAATCAGATTGGTATTGACTGATATGGCTTGTTAAGAATCAGCCATTGGTATCGGCCCAAAAAAATCTCTATTGGTGCACCCTTAGTATTAATGCCCTGTAAGAAGTTCTTTGTCTAGATACTAAGTCTTTTGCTCTGTACTTCAGCACCTGTTCTAACTCTTAAGTTTGGATGTAAACTTTCTTTCAAGCCCCGAAATGTATGATTAATCCCAATTCACTGCTCCTTTTCCATCCCAGATCTATTACCACCACCTTCAGAAAGTAGTTCTCCTTGTTTATACCTTAAAAGTTGGGGAGTTTTTTCCTTTCAATTACATCCTGTTTTTACCATAACATTTCTAGTCTGCTTTTCTTATCCCTGTTTTCCAAACTTAAAGGAAACCAAAATGTTGTTTTATTGGTTAGGGTTGTTTTCCTCCCAAATTTTAATTGATTTAGGTCAGCGTTGTCCTCTGTCACCCAAAGAGGTGGGAAAAAGTTGGAAACTTTATTTAAATTGATAGCTTACAAAGTTTGCTTTGGTAGTATCTTGGACTTCAGTTTTGTTTTGGGCAAGGAAAGGAGTGGAGGACACCGAAGAAAACACTTGTCACTGCTACTACAATTTAGTTATCTCTAATCCAGGAATCACCTCTTGGACAGCTTTGAAGGCTGCAAGATGCAAGAGAGACAGGGAGGGCCCAACCCTCATGGCTTGGGTTCATTAAGGGTGACCTCAGGTGACTCTAAATATTGGTGTAGAGCTATCCTAGTGCCTTGCTACCTTGACGTGTTCTTAAAACTATTGTGGTATGTTGTGGGATAGTTTGTCTGTACTATCTTATGCTGTACAGCAGTGCTGGCAGCCCACCAGCATACTTAACTGATGCACTTTTGGTTTTCTTCTGCTCCAGCTGGCACCAAGGCATGGAAAAAAATCCATGGTGCATCCTGTACAAAATGCTCAAGCTTGGCAGCCGGGAGTTGAGGGGATGGAGAAAATTCAAGTGGATAAGCAAGATGCTAAACAAAGATTCAGAGGCTGATTCCTACCAGAACTAGCCCCTGCTTCCAACAACAAACTGGGAACAGAGAACACCAGGAGGCAAAGTATTGCTGTCAATTAATGCAGCTACTGGGATTTATAATTCAGGCACCCTGGAACAATTCTAGCTAGTAATGATAGACTTGTGTCAGTCTGTTGATGTGACAGTTACAAGGAGAGCAGTCTGTGGAGGCTTTATTCCTTGTCCTGATTCTTTTCTGGTCATTGGTTCAAACTGAATGAGAATAAATTGCTAACTGCATGTTTAAACTGCCACAGCCCTGTTTCCCCCCTCGCCCCAGTTGAATCTATCACAGTGCTGGGTAATGAGTGGGGGCGGTGGAAATGGTATAGTTTTCATTCTCAACAAAAACGGTAGTCATTCCATTGTATGTAATAATTACATTGGTAATAGTACAGAAATCCCTGGGATTTCAGTTTTACTAGTGACAAAGATGATGGGGATCGCTTACCTGGCTTCTGCTCTGGCTCTGATCTTACTACACTTCCCCTCTGGGCTTTACCCCAGGCCTGGTCCTGAACAGGTCCTTGGAACTTGCCATAGGTATCTATTAATGCATCCAGCAGTGGAACCTGTGTTTGACTGAATAGGAACAGTTTGGTGATGGAACATGTGGACCCCTTTGTACTGTTGAGGTCCCCTCTCTCTGCCCCTGTCTAAACGTCTGTCTCCAAATCCTGTTTGACGTGGCTGCTGGCTCCGTTCAGTGCAGTGGAGGCACCTAGTCGGACTGCTCATAGGGGAGAGGTTCCCGGACTCACAAACTTCAGTAGATGTTGTTTGGCCCCACTGTTTGGCTGGTAATATTTCAGTCAAGATGGGGGTTTATACAGCAAACTCATGCCTTAAAAAATCAACTCTTTTTCCCAAATTAATCCACAGAATTCAGTCTACCTCATCTTTGCTTTTTCTCAGGGTGGACAGTTTTTTTTTTTTCTTCTTGCTGTTATGCAGTACTTCCCAATTTAGGGAAGAATTCCTTTATTAAAACTGACTCTCTTAGCCTCCTACATATAACCAAGGCAGTTTTATTTTAAAATCAGGCTGCTTTCAATTTAGCATATTAAAAATATGCAGTATGTGCCATAATTCTGAATTTTTCTCATGCAGTACTGAGTCTGTATTCATCATCTGAAAAACTGCAGTTATAGCTTTCCCTGACTTTCTTTACAGAAGCACAGTTGAAAAGCTAGCCACCAATAGATGCTTGAATTTAGGAGCAATTGAGGAGCACTTGTTTAATTTATTTTTGTTTTTTCTCTCTTGGGTTATGACCTTTCATATGGAATTCTTGTGGCTGTGTTAATAGCCTAACTAGATAAAATATCGTTATGTAGGAATATAGAAAGTCTGGGAGATTGTATCTGTAGTTATGCTGTGGATTTTCAGTCATAAATATTTACGGTGTATCATGATCAGTACCAATCAAAATTGGGAGCTGCTTTTACAGAACAGAGAATTTGTCCAAATATTTTTAACAATGGTGCTGCTCCTCAGTAAATAAAGATGAAATATCCCACACTGATCTGAAAATAATATTTTCTTAGGCTATATCCTAGATATATGGGGCATTCTCATGATAAATATCTTGTAACATTTGACCTTTTATTACTTATCACACCTTATTTGAAGATTATCCAAAACATGGGAGAGGAAAGGTTCTTTCTATGTTAGGGTTTCGAAATGAGTTCTCTAACAGGAAATATTAGTGGCAGCCCACAGATTTACATTCATGAAGAAATGGTTTGTTTTCAGTGGTGTCCTGGGAGGGGAAAAAGGACATTGCTTTGTAATTTTAAGTAGAGATTTGTACATATGTGGTAACACCAGAATTGTTTTATGACCTCCTTTTTTGGTTTATCCTTCTATTTGTAATTTGCCTGTGGTCACTCCCCACGGTTGAGATGCACTGAGCTTGAGGAGTGAAATAATTTGCATTTTCTTTGTACCATTAAGTGTGGGCTTGCTCTGACAAACTCACTGCTGTTTCCCAACAGAGCTGTTGAATGACGGAACTGTCGGGATTTTCCGAGGGAACCAAATGCGCTTGAAACAAGCCTGCATCAGGAAAGCAAAAATTTCTGCACTGTCTTTCCGGAAAGCATTCTGCCATCACAAGCTGGTGGAACTTGATGCTGCAGGGATGAACGCGGATGTTACTATTGCAGATATTGTAAGTGGACTTGGGAGTAATAAGTGGATCCGGCAAAACCTTCAGTGCCTTGTTTTGGACTCATTGACGCTTTCTCTGACAAATCCCTGTAAAGGGTGCTTCAAGCAGTTGTCTGGTCTTCGTGTTTTGAGCATTACCAATGTTCTTTTCCACAATGAGGACTTGATAGAGGTTGCTTCTCTTCCGAGGCTGGAAAGTTTGGATATATCCAATACCTCGGTCACTGACATAACTGCACTCCTTGCCTGCAAGGATCGACTTAAGTCTCTTTCCATGCACTACTTGAAGTACTTATCAATGTCTACGCAACAAGTCTTGGATATCCTACGAGAACTCAAGTTCTTGAACCACTTGGACATTTCAGATGATCAGCAGTTTACATCTGATATACCTGTTAGTTTGCTAGAGCAAAAAGACATCCTACCTCACCTTGAGTCATTGGACATTTCTGGCAGTAAATTCATTACTGATGAAGCTGTAGAAGCATTTGTCAAACAGCGACCTGCAATGCAGTTTGTGGGACTGCTGGCAACTGATGCTGGCTACTCTGAATTCCTTTCAGGAGAAGGAAGTTTGAAGGTTTGAATTTAAAAATAACCTGTTATAGCTAAACCGGGATTGCAGACAAGGATGTAGTGTGATCAGCTGGATTGAGTATGTGGCGTAGGGCTAGGAACAAAGTCTGAATCCCAGGTTATCCATTGGCTTGCCTTACATTTTTTGTCAAATCACTTAACCACTCTGAGTTTTTCTTCATAGGCCAAGTGAAAACTCCTGCTTACCTCATTGTGCTGAAGACTAATTCACGTTTTTATAATTTTTTTTATATAGGCATTAATTTTTACGTGAAGTGCTGTTTGATAGCAGCACGTCTCCCTGAGTCTGGTATCCAGATGCAATATGACTATGAAAGCAGATAACTTGGCATTAATTTAACGTCATTTTTTTTGAACAAGCAGTAATTTAAACAATAGATGATTGTTGCCTGAGAGCCCTTTGGGTCCTGCCTGGCATGTTTCATCCTCTGCATAGGAGAGTGTTCTGCTTTGTTTTGTCTGGTGTACTTGCCTAGACAACTTTGTTAGACACATTCAGATAATCTGGGAGAATTTTCCCAGGTTTATTCTACTGGTAAAGAAACCAACCCAGAGCCCTCTGTACAGATATTTGAATGATGAAATGTCTTTACTCTTCAGAGTAGAGAGCTTGCAATGCCAACACTGTGCAGCAGGGGTACTATGCACATCTCAGTGTGCTCTGCAAGCTCCCTTAATCTGCCTGGTGACACATGGTAGCAGTGCCTAGGGCAGCCCTGGTTGGCTACCCATGATCAGCTTGTCTTTCCCTGCAGCACATGTAAGGTTACAAAGTGGATGTGTTTTGCTCCCTGCTGGAATAGCAGAGTCCAGCAAGTGATGCACTGTCTCTGAATGGGAGGTGTGGGGAGGAGGGGATACTGGAGGACCTTGTTCTCTTCTGAGAGAATCCATAGCATGTTAGGCATTTGCTTACTCTGGAGAAACTCTGCTGGGAGGGATTTAACCTTGGCTGTTCCCAGGTTATTTTTCTATTTGCCCCCATGGCACTGCACTTGAGGCTGAGCCCCACCTGTTCCTATTGGGGCAGCCCACATTGTGCTCCAGCCTCTGCCCGCTGGCCCAGGCCCTGACTAGTGTGCGCAGCTTCTGGTGGGGCTGTTCCAGTTGCTGCTCTGCTCTCCTTGCTTCTAGTGGGAGCTGCCTAATGGAAGCTCCCCACCATCCGCCCACCCAGAGCGGCACAGCAGGGGCAGGACTCGGGAGGAGGAGCCACTGCTGGAGGTGTGGGGAGCAGAGCAGCAGCCAGACCATGAACACCCATGCTGGACGCTGTACATGCTGGCCTGGGGGTGTTCTGCTCCCCTCACCTCCAACTGCATCTCCTCCTCCTGCCCCTGGTGCATCACTTCAGCTGGGCAGCTCCTGCTCCTGTATGCAGGTCCAGCACCCTCAATGCAAAACACCCACTCTCCACC